TGATGGCACGTCACGTGATCCCAGGCCCCGCCTTGGATCAGCGACCTTCCATCGCGGCTATCCCGATGGTCTTCCTTCCTGCGGCCTGCATAACAAAAGGAAGCAACTCCTTGTTACCTTGTAACAGGCCTGTGGGATAGGCGAGATATGTATCCCGGCTAGAAGCTCTAATAGCGATGCCTCTATGCTCGAGATCGCGATTATGTCTATGTTTTGATATGAATCTTTATGTAAGTCCCTAGCATGTATGTAACAACCCTAACATACCTTTTGTCTGACTAATCTTACTGCCTCTATACGTTTATCGACGTGTAATTGAAAGTACCTGTCGTAGCCCTAAAACGGCGGCGGTATAGATACATATAGTGCAAGAAACTTCTTAAAACTTCCTTCTTATAAATTCGCGTCGTCTACGAGGCTATACTGTTCCTGATACTAGCGAGCTATACAATGAGCTTATTGTTAGAACACTAGACAAGGGAGGATAGTGAATCGCACAAGCGATAAGTACTCTGAACAATACACTTCTACGAAGGATAGGACGAACAGTCGACGAGGTTGGTGAAGAACAAAAGACACGGGTCTAGTATTCGCGCATTGCTTATAGCGCTTCACCACTACTTGTAGCACTATAGTGCTAGATCCAGCGAGCTCGGTATGCTAGGAAACAGCTATCAGCGAGAATACAAGCTTATACTGAGACATTGCGCAGGGGGCATGAATCGCAAAGGCGAGATCAGTGGTGTGTAAGATCGGGGAGCAAGCTGCGCATTGCTTTCCGGATTATTGGTCGTGTTATTCTGTTGAGCCAACGGAGACGACTGCATGATCCACTGCATTACGGGTAGTCCATGAATTTCGTACGATAGGTTGTAGAGGCTGAGTTTGATACAGACTGGTGTAAGGAGTAAAGTTCAGTTGAGTGAGTGCTAGCTGGCAGGTGAAAGTGACACGCGATGAAACGTGCACGCTTATCTTATCAGTAAGCGAGTCATGTCGGTTGTGGTCCCGAGTCAGCCTAGTCCAGCCTCCGCTTTCCGTTTTGTAGGCAGCACTTTTGAGTTTGAACGATATACAATTTGGGTTCGCAAACTCTGTTCAGATAGAAAATACAATAAAGATCGTTCGTAAGGAGTGAGTGTGAAGAGTTGGACTCGAGTATTGAGAAGAGGACGCGCAAACACGCCCACATCATCGCTGGAACCACACCGGACAGTAACGCAAACGCACGAGCAACCGTAAGTATTGCATTGCGCTGCGATTATTGGGTCTGTCCAGTGTTATATGGCTCAGGATCGGGTGGAGGTGGTGGGTGAAAAAGAGGAGTCGTTCCCGTAAGTGGAACTACAGCTTGGGTATGAGAGTCGGTGTAATGAATGGCCAAAGGAAGGAAAAGCGTCTCCGTGAGTGAGACTGCAGCTTGAAGTTTGGGGGCAATGCATTTGACAGAAACAGGTGCTGAGACTGAGTGTACAGCCTCTGAAGGGACGTCTGCGCGACAGGCTTTCGTTATACGATAGAGCGTCCTTGTGAGCCCGAAGATGGTGTTGCCGATAAGAGCTCTGCTACCATTAATCTGTAGGAGGGATGAGGGAAATGCTGCTCCCGTGAGTGAAGCAGCGCCCGCGTCCCTCTTACAAAGAGCCCTTCTGATATTGCTCTCTATCGTATCCTTGTATGTAGGCCGCGCACCTCTCAAGCCGAGAGGTACGACAGCCGGTGCACTAGGTGCGACAATCGCGGAGTTATCGAAACAATATGGTCTAGGAGCAGGTGTCGTACCACTTAGACGAGATAACAGATAGCGGGCTTCGGAGTGCAGGTGCTGTGCGTAGAGTATCACGGTGCCATCGTTTGAGCTGCGCATCGAGTTGCAGTCAGCCGTCTCATCGCCAGGCGGGCGAAAGATACAAGCGTTTAGAACTGCTGTCGTGTTAGTAATTTTCGCATACATTCTGGGAGCATATACGCATGGTTCGAGACGACGGCTAAACGCTGTAAGTCTCGCTGGCTGATGGAGAACGGGTAACACTAGCATGCGCCGGTGAGTGCAGGTCCACAGCGGGGACTTAGTGCTCTGGCTCCACAATCAGCTAGGTCCAGCAGGTCTGTGTGCACGTAGTCGCACGCACATATGGATTTGGTTGCGCGCAGAAGGCTATCGATAACTAGTGCTCAGTGTTATCCAGATAGGTCGTTGGGTTGGTGGGTGAACTGTTGGGTTGAAGTGGGACGATGGTTTAGGGGCCCAGGCATCCAACAAGGGATCGACAGCTGTTGCTTCCAAGCCCTGCTAGCGCCGCGCCTTCAATCGAGGCTCAGCCTTCCACCCTCGCATCATCTCTAGCCATGAACCGTTGATCTAGCGATGTCGACAAGCAACTGGATCTGGAGTGATCAATACCAGGATTATTATTACGTTACCTACGATGGTGCGTGTGAAGTGGAAATCTCCAAACGTGAGGTTTACTGACCCACGCACCCTAGAATACAATACCCCGGTGTACCACTGGTTCAAACAAACAGAAACACGGCCTCGACAGGACTCTAGCAGTCAGCAGGAATCTGGATCCAATGTGGTTCGGATGCCAGATCCTGCTCCTCCACAATTTAGGAGTCTGCGCGACGCCATCCATGGCACACCTCAAACAGGTTGGTATGACTTATTAGATTCAAGTCAGTATCGAACCTCTATCATCAGGTATATGCGCTAAACCTTGCAGGTTATCGTATGCGGACAGCTTCTGAAGCGGGGTTGTTCTTCGTCGTAGGCAGGGTAAGATGTGGTATCGCTCAGAAAGTTGAGATCTAATCACCTGTCTTAGGTATTCGCAATGCTGTATAGCGAGACCGCTAGCGAAATCTCTCATGCTCCACCTTCCGATCAAGCTTACACCGTTGTACGGTTCAATGAACGTGTGCATACGAACATCAGACGCTTTGTCGTAGTACAAGACAACCATGGGTTTGTTTATGCATGGCAAGTCAGTCACAAGGCGCAAAGGTACTGAATTAACTTAGATGTTAGCCCCATCGGAACGTACTCTGGCCGGGGTACGCTAAAGAAAGGTTGCTATCCAGCAGATCATGCTATAGTATATCTTTCAGGTACTGACCCACGATCGTGTTACCTGCCTGGTGAATACGAAGCCGGGATGACTGAGCAACCCATCGAGATCATACCAGTGGATGCAAGCATTCGCCTAAGGTCTGAATCGCGTATACGGTTTGGTAAGACCTATCCTATCGAGAAAAATGTCAAAGTCAAGGATATCGGCCAGGTACATCCGAGCCATTTAGGCAAGCTCTTGCAATATTGGTCCGGTATGGGACGAAAAAGCGGAGAAGCGCAAGATTATAAGAAAACTCAAGCCGGGTGGAGCGTCCCAAACGATGAAAGCAATCATAATGAGTCGAACGCGCAAAAGACGATTACACGGAAGTGGAAAACAATACAGGCTGGCGAAGATGCCGGGAACAAGAGAAAATTTCTAGATACAGAAGAATTCCTCGATGAAGAGGAATTGTTAGACAACGGAGATGTGCAAGATCAGGCCGTCGACGAAAGGCCACGATCGTCAGCTTCACAGTCACATACCAACGAGGATAACAAACCAACAAAGTCCGCAAATGCCGAAACACATAGCCTGAACATTTCGACCGAGTTCGTTCCAGATGCAACAAAAGAAGAATCACCAGACATAACGACAAACTCTAATGACACGTCTGGGAAGGTCGATGATACAGAACTAGACACCGCTGTTTCTCGCTGGCTACACGACATCAACTACCAATTGACTGGTGACCTTCATTCAGGTTAGTGTACACCTCCCTTAATTTACTTCTCTAAAACTAGGCGATAGACTATACGGTGATAAACAATCCGCGAGCATTCTTCAAGAAAGGCAAAGTCTTCATGGTGCCCTGGCCAGAAACGAGCGGTGATCTCGTCAAGGGCCAGGCAGGACCGCCAGTAATGGTGAAAATCCGAAGGTTGGTTGTCGTCAGGCCCAAAGCGACGTTCTGTCTTTGCCTTCCCATACACACTTACTCGGGACAGGCGACCAGCAAGGCTGGCGTTGCTGCGCAAGATCATGCGCCTGTGGTGCCTGAAGGCGGCGAAGTCATTTACCACGAAAATGAACCAAAGCTCACAAAGTCACCTATGTATATCAAGGTCGAGAAGTCGTCGACAGGGCCAGTTTCTCCGATGTCGAGGTTGAACTTTGCAAAGGTCTACACGGTGGAGTACAACGTCAAAGTTCGACCGATCGGCAGACTGATACCAGACTCTGTTTGGCGTATGGAAGAGTACTTCATGGAATGTCTAACACCCAATACGACCTGAGATTCCCAAAGAATGGTCTGCATCATTATCTGCTTCTTGGAACCTGGGTTGAAGGAAAACGGTAGTGACCGACGCATTCAGATTAGTAGAGTCTTGAGTGACCGGTGACAATATGCAGCCAAGCACTGAATGGTAAGCCAATCAGCACTTTGAAGGACGCATGATGCATGCATGATGCACTCAAGGCCAGGCAATCTGAAGTGCGAGTAAACCAGTGACACTTTGCTCATGGAGCCACGTCTTGCGAAGTGCGCCCTGCGCACATCACAGCCACCATGCTCCAACCGATCGGCTATAAATCATCTACTTGCCACCAAGTTTTTCTTCCGAATTTTGTACCATGGTCGAGTTCATCGGAGCTGCCGCTGCGATCCCGCAGCTTGCGAAATACAGCTTCAGCGCTGTTAATGCTGTACCAGACTTCGCACGACGAGTTCGCAAGGCTCCCGCTACCCAAGGACGTCTGATCGACCAGGCAACGCTGCTTACCAAAGCGTCGCTAGAAACTTGTAGACCACTCAATAACAATGTTGTTCCTTCATCAATCATGGATCGCCTCACTGAAGACCTGAACAGTGTCCAAGCAGTACTGCACAAAACCACGATACATACCGATGATGGGAAGATAGCCAAGATATGGAAGAACATCAGGGTCGTAAGAAAAGAGACTGAATTGAACAAAGAGATGCTAGCTATAAGCCAGCGTATTGTTTTATGCGCTCATCTAGCCACGTTGAGTGCTTGCTCACTTCGATTGATGGAAGCCATGCTGACAGCACTAGGCTGAATCACGTGAACAGCATGTCGACTGTTCATGGTCTGTCGTCCTCAGCTTCGACCAATACATTGGTCTCCTATAATGTACGCACTATGGAATTGAAATTTTGGCTAAGATTGTTGTCGCGGTCAACAAAGTAGCGCGTTGTTGTGTCATGCTGGACAGCTAATCATGAAAAACGTCTAGATCCAGTCAACGGCGACTGCACCACCAATACTTCTCAATCAGCTCTTGACCTCCACCACGCAAAATTTGAAGTTCATAGGACATGCAGATCTACTGCACAAGCTCTCGACGAAGATCAAAGGGGCAGCGCAATCTTTGACCGCCATACATGGCCTAGGAGGGCTTGGGTATGTGAATCCTTCCTGTAGTAGCTATGGTAGCTACCCCGCTAATTCTTCTCCAGGAAGTCCGATCTAGCGATTGAGATGGCATACTGCATCCATGAAGACACATCAGACCTCTCTATCTTCTGGCTTGATGCCACTACCACTGATACTTTGACTACAGGGCTTTGCGCGATCGATGGGCTTACGGATATCGCCAACAATACGTCAGAAGCTTTAACAGCGGCTGTAATACAATGGATGAGATCACCCGTCCTATTCAAACGTCTTTTGATCATTGACAACGTTGACGTAGACTCAGCCTCCAACACGACTCTGGAAAACTTGTTGCGCCCCACGCGCGATCATCACATTCTGTTCATTACCCGTAGTCGCCGAATCGCATTGCGTTATGCGCACCCGACTGATATCATCGATATGCCTACCATGTCCGAAGGCGATGCGCAACAGTTGTTGCTTTCGTACATCGGAGCAGGTGCTTGGGACGAAGAATCCATGATGAGTTTAGTGGAAAAGCTCGAGTATCATCCGCTAGCAATCAAAAGCGCTGGGATATACATAGCATCCACCGGTACTCGGCTGACAGGATTTCTCGCGCTCTTAGAACAAGATGCGATGTTCCTGACTGCGCTACTCGACGGAACGGCGGTTTTTCCGCATCCCACAGCGGTACGTCAAGGAGATCATGATCGCATATACACGCTCAAATCCCTTGTAAAATGCAATGGAGATATTCCTACAATCCTCTTCGTCCTGTCGAGCTTGGACTGTTCAGACCTACCAGATGAGTTCATTTCAACTCTTGCGAACACGGAGTCGAGAAGAGAAGCAATCGACGTCCTCAAAGCATATTCGCTTCTCAAGCCCATTACGCGGACCACGAGATGGAGGATACCGGAGCTCGTGAGGCACACCGCAAGAGGTCAACTGCTTTGCAGCCCCAACCGTGCTCGATTCCTGGCAGCCGCTCTCCAATTCGTTGCCCAACTCGGAGCACCACCTATGACTGCAACAAATTTCGCTCAGAAATGTCATTTGCACATAGCCTCGGTGTTAATGGCTGTTTTCACACTCGCTCCTGAACGAGAGTTTTCGCCGGGCATAATTAAGCTTGCCTTCCAAATGTCAACCATATTGTGCCAACTTCTGGTTAACCAAGGAAAAGCATACGAAGCAATCGCTGCGTCCTCTCGATTCATCTCCTGGGCTCCAATCAGTGTGCAAAAGCTCGTCACTGCCTCCGACAGACTTCGCAGCAAGATCGGCGTTGCTTATTATGGAAACGGGGATTTTACAGCTGCGGAAACTATTACGAGAGAGGTACTTCGATCGCAGATCTACACTATCGGAGAAGATCACCTAGAAACTCTTCATAGTCTCAACAATATTGGCTTGTATCAATGGGAGCAGGGTCGGTTCTCTTTAGCGGAGCGTTGTCATCGCAAAGTGCTGGAGCTGAAGCGTATTGTATGCGGGCCGTGTGACTTAGAAATCTTCTTCACTTTTAATAATCTTGCGCTGTCACTGGAAAGCCAAGGAAACTTCGAAGAAGCCGAGATCTATCTTGTCCAAGCGTTGCGCGGACGACAAGCAAGGCTTCCAGATTCACATCCCGACGTCCTCGTCAGTAAGAGCAATCTCGGTGTTCTCAGGGGGCTACAAGGACGGTCTAAACAAGCTCGGCGGCTACATGAGGCTGCATTGAAAGGCCGACAGGTTGCCCTGGGTTCGACACACCCAGATACATTGAAGAGCAAAGGTAATCTAGCATTGGAGCTCCAGAAAGAAGGTCTCTACGACGAATCAGTCCAGCTCCTTCACAACATCTGCCAAACATACAAAACAGAACTGGGCCCGTCACATCCGCAGGCCATCAAGTCTCTCCGCAACCTTGCCTACGTTCTACACCAGCAGTCCAAATTTGCAGAAGCAGAAGCGTTGATACGAGAAGTTCTCGATACATTGGAAGAGAAGCATGGCAAGGGTCATCCGGAAACGTTCAAGACAATACACTATCTGGCTACGCTCTTGCATTGGCAAGATAGACTCGAAGAGGCGTTGGGGATGATGGCATTACTTTATAATATGCAGAAAGCGATGTTGGAGGAAAACCATCCAGACACGATGTACAGTAGGAGATACCTCGCGGAGTTGGAAGCAGAGCTAGTGGCGAGTGGGCAAGACTCTCACATCATTATCTCTTACGTGTTCTAGGCGCAGGCGCTCTTCCTTTACGGTTTGCATGCCAGACCTTCTACTATCACGATGATGTTTAGGGATGTTTCCTTCCACTTGGTGTTCGGCGCAAGGGGCAGTACGTATTGTCAGTAGTCACGATGACGCGAAGCTAGTTGGACGGCAGTCGTTTTATGCACGGATATCCAGGAGCATGCGACAGTGACACGCAAAGCAGACGTGTGACATGAAAATTCATCGCTTCCGCAAGAACAGTCCGTACATCTGTTCTTCCCCTATGCAAGCAATAATTCGACATGAATGAGGCCCTATCCACGCAGGGATCCAGCGATATGAAGCTCCTGTCATCCATGCAACCCTTCATTTCAAGCCAGTGTGTATGCAACAAAGCAAATCTCGTCCGACAGGTGGACTCGTATACGGCGCGTGGAAGCAGCGGCGGAACGAGTGGAAGTGGCCGCACGCGGGCAATACATGCGATTGTACCACGGTTTCCTAGCGATGTGAGAACATAATCGCGAAAGGACAGATAATAAGATGGTAGTGAAAAGTAGAACTCTATAGGCCATCGAAGGGTATGGGACTTTGCGTGTCAGTCGCGTGGAGCCAGATAAATGTGTGAGGTATAGGAAAGCTCGTAGCAGCGAGGCCATGACATGTAAAATTAGCGTAAGACAATACTAGGGATTGCTAGCAAGAGTGTAAGGCAGCAATAATACCGAAACGCGATGGTATGTGCACGCGCTTATCTTATCGGACGCGCAGTGGTACAGCTGCAGGGTGACATCATCGACCTCGATGAGACGCGCAACTAGGCATTCGTGTACGCGAAAGAGGTCGTCTCCCAATGGAAGCAGATGGGCAAGACGATATTGATTGTGAAGATAGTAGCCCGCAGTAATAATACATATACACGTAAAGTCCTTGTCCATGAAGCCAAATAACAGCATGGGTGTTTCCATACAGAATCCCGTTACAGTAACCCTCATTACAATAGTCCTCATTATGATGTTCCCCTTTTCCATGCGATCAAGTGAAATGAGTGGAGTGTATGTGTGCGCAATCGTCGACCGAGGGTAGGCTCGTGTGGAGTGTCGAAGCGGTGGCAGTGGGAGCGGCTGCTTGCGAAGCATAGGATTATGCTGCAGCTGCCTAAGGATGTTAGCATGTGCATTGAGGACCCTGTTGATCGAAAGCTTACATTTCCCCTTGGTTCCAGGCCGTCCCTGACCTAGCTTTGATGCGGCCCGGTCGGGTACGGATTAGGTGCAGGACGTGGTGGTGGATCGTTGGATGTTTTGGTACTGCTCTGGTGCGGCGCCGTCGGATATGGCGTAGGCTCAGGGCGTGGCGGCGGCTTCTTATTTGCTTTTCGATGGTATGAACTGTGAAGATTAGATGTGAGATCCCGCTCAGTAACACTGGGAGTGGTGGTAGGCTGTGGAAGACTGTCCTGGTAAGGTCCAGTCGGGTAAGGGTTTGGTTCTGGACGCGGTGGAGGTGTGTTCGGGAGCTGAGTGACGCGTGTCACTGTTCCGTGTGGGTATCGAAATCTGCGTGGACGAGAAAAAGCAAATATGACGTTGATAAACAAATGAAATCGCATCTGGAGGATGCAGGCGTCGAAACGTTGCGTGGAAAGGATAGTTGCCGTCCATGCGATGCGAAGGACTGCCATGTGGTCGTGTCCATGTTCGCTTGTGGATAGCGTTTTGCGGCAGCTGTCGCCATGTATGTCCGTCGTGAGGGCGGAAGCGTCGTAAACGTTGTAAACAAAGAGAAGTAGTCGGTTCACCCGCTCAAGAACAGTAGACAACGTGGGATGACTGCTAGCCTTGAGGGTTGGAACGAACCGACTTTGATGTGCAACAGGGTCTTGATGATCAGCGCAACCGTTATGCGCAATGTCGCGCAAGTGCTGCGCTGCTGGCGGTTTCAAGCATCGCAACCACGGTAGACTTGGGCGCGCGGGCACATTGCACGGGTCGCTATCTCCCTGGGGCACAGCGAGCCGTGCAGCCTACCAACGATCAGATATTGCGAACGGAAGTCTGCACCCTAAGACGAAAGAGCGGGAAAAGTTTTCTTACAGTAAGAACTTGCCCCATTGGCGTTCCTGCAGTAGGTGTGGGTGATGTGTTTGTTGTTGATAGGCTGGAGGTAGGCGGCTGAGGGTAGGCACCTAAACGAAATGCGGCAACTGTACCGCTGCGCAGCCTGATGCAAAAAGCAATGGATGGCGAGATGGAAAGATGATGTAAACGGTAATTCTCGGTGTTCTTTGCCTTCTTGAGAGAGAAGGATGCAGCTCTACTGCAGGTACATTAATTGACCTGCCTAATTACCGGGGGGATGAGTACGCGCCCGCTATCTCCCCGCTATCCGCTAGTAGTTAGCGCTGCTAAATCATCCCTCTCTCAGCACAATCAAGCAATCTCTTGCTGGAGAACCTCAAATCTCGGCGGCTAATCTGGCGGTGAAACACTGGGAAGATGTCTCAACCTCAACGCCAGCCAGAATGGAATGTACAAGCTCAAAGGTATCTCTATAGCGAGTGGAATGCACAACAAGGGCGATACTGCTGGAAGCACTATGTCGGTGAGTACGCCTCTATCGACCAACGCTTCTATGTAGCTCATCACGTTCATAGAAGGACAAGGCTGGAAGGACTTCGACTGGGGACTGCTGTCGCAGCAGACTACTCAAGTGCAGGGCAAGAATCGACCAATACACCAAGCACATATGAGATCCGACTCGTTGCAATCACTAGCTACAGCTACTCAGGACGAACATCAAGGTGGTGTCACTCAGGGAACATATAGCTCTGTGTACTCACAAATGGGTCAATCATATGGTCAACTCGATTCCAGTGGGTCGAGATAATCTTACATTCTCGTTGAGGCGGCTAACACTTAGAAAGGCTTTTGCGTACGCACAGGTACCTTTTTCGAGGAGGGCAGAGTAGGATGCCCCCAAGAGCACACCCTCTAATAAAACTTACTCAGAATAGGTCTTTTCGATGCTCTTTACCGAGGCTGCAAGTGGCAACTCCAAGCAAGCACAGCACAACGACAGTTTATCTCAGATTCGATATGGTGAATACGTGTTCACTCATATCCGCCGATTCGTCGTTGTGAAACGCAGAAGAGAATTCTGCTTCGCAATGTAAGGATATGCTCGTCGAGGGGACGTTATCATATGCTAACATACCCAAGTCCAATATTCTCCTATGGAAGCCGAGGCACTACTAAGCCAGGTGTCAATCCTGACGAACACGCCATCATTTATAGCGATGGGTATTCTCCACATCTGGTAGTCGGCGAAGCGCCCTTGAAGAAAAGCCCGATACGTGTGGTAATGACAGAGTATCAGCATCCTCTCGCGACTGCGTGTCGCGTTTACTTCGGCATCCACCATCCCATACAATACAATGTAAAGGTGAAGGATGTCGGTATTGTGCATGGAGATGATCTTCCACTTCTGCTATCTTACTGGCATTCCACCATTTATGATGGCCCGCAGCCAGATCATCCTGACTTTATGCAAGACTTGAATTCTTCCATCTCTTCTCTTATATCGGTACCAAGGACAAAACCTGGTACGCTAGCTGGCTACCTTATGACCTGTCGCTGACCCGTATAGATTTTGACGACGTTACGAACCCTCGTAAGTTCTTCAAGAAAGATCGCATCTTCATGACCCCCTGGACGGAACCTAGCGGTTCATCTGGAACTCCATTCACCAAGGCTGCCAGATTCGTAGTGGTGAGACCGGGATCGACCTTCTCCGTCTGCTTGCGCATCAGTACGTACTCTGGCCAAGGAACCACCAAACCTGGCGTGATCGCAAATCAGTATGCAGCTGTGATTCCACAGGGCAATCAAGTCGTGCTGCACGAGAAGGGCGAGGATCTTTCTAAAGAACCCATAGAGATCAAAGTTGAGAATCCAGATGTTGACGTCAACGTAATGTCTCGCATTAACTTCGCAAAACCATACACGATCGAGCACAACGTCAAAGTTCGCAACATCGGTAGAGTCGTTGGGGATTCCGTTAAGAAGCTCGAACGATACTTCGCTGAAAGTCTGGGATTCGCGAAACCGTCTTTCGAAAGTTCATAGGCATGCGGTCTTTATCTCCCACAATTTGGAGTTCGCCTACGTCACGGGATAACCGGTGAATCACTGCGCGCCAAGCGTGCTGCACGTAATATGCAGCCTTGCTGCATGCCATACGGATATGGCCAATAAGCTGTAAGTCTATCATCATTTAGTTATGACCATCGGTGTGGTGTGTGTGTGTGTGACAGACGTGTCACTCAGACTTGCCTTTTTGCCCTATTCTAATTAATGTTCAGTTATCCCTCTGAGAAACTGATTGTTCAAATCAAACAATCTCATCTTATCTCGAATCGCGAAATGGTAGAAGCATTAGCCATCATGGGCGGTCTAGCTGCCGCCACGCAGCTAGCTCATTATACTGTTGCATCCGGGCACACTGCATCACGACTTTCTCACAACCTACGCCATAGATCGGAAACGGTCAAGGAGTGGTTGATCTCATCCCAAACGATGGCCGGTCTTCTTGATGACATTGAACACCAGGCCCTCAGCTGTACACCAAACATTACTCAACTATGGAAGCAATGTCGGAAGGATGCCGACAGGTTGTGTTTGTTGCTACAGACCTTTCGGATGGATGTTCCTCTACAGGAACGGTCAACTCTATCGGACAGCGTTTTTGTTATCTTGAAGGGTGAGAAGGTGGAGCGTCTCATATCATCGTATAGAAGCAATTACAGTCTGCTTACCCAAGCATTCATTTCGTTGTAAGTTCCATCAGCTCATGAGTTCAGCTCGCTGCTAATATCTCCTTCGCTAGTATCACTGCCAACCAGAACACAACCCCTTCGAAGACAGGCATGCGACCAGAGCTACAGACAACAGGAAGGCGCCTGATGCACGACAAATTCATGTTACGTACGGCCAGCATCGAATTTGACATGCATTTTTCCAATGTGCATAATCTCCAGCATGGTCACAGGCTACAGATAGACGTCGCCACTATACTGGAAACCTCGATGCAATACCCGGTGGACGATCCTACACTTGAAGAGACCGTAAACCTGGCTACACGGTATTGCATGTATCTTCTCACAGCGGGCCGATATGTATGCGTGTTGGACGTTCTCTCAAAGATCAAGACATGGTCTAAAGCAGTTCTGCCTACACATTTCGAAGCGGAGACAGCGCTTAGTGGTAAAGAAGCGGTCGCACACGCGTTGCTTGGCAATCTCAACACGGCATTACACATGTTCCGGAAACTTCGACATTCTAGAGACAAGGTTCTCGGTCGATCAGATATCTCCACTCTACACAGCATCAACGGGCTGGGGCTTGTGCACCATGCCATGGGGAATGATCGCGAGGCGTTGCATTACCATCGCACAGCTCTACGATTCAAAAGGAGGAAACTTGGACATGATGACCCCGATACATTAGTAAGCGCAAATAATCTGGGGATAGTGCTACTAACCCAGGGACGTTATGAAAGGGCGAGTAACTTATTCCAGAGTTCACTCAAAGGATGGCTTCAAGCTTACGGTGGAGACGATCTGTTCGTCATTGCGGCAAGGAGTAATCTTGGCATCACGCTTCAATTTCAGGGCAAGCTTAATGAGGCTGAACACAGCCATCGCTACGTGTACAGGAAACGCCAGCGCATCCTGGGCCCACACCACCACGAGACCATCAAAAGCAAAGCAAATCTCGCCATCACGCTCAACCAGCAAGGCCGCCACTCGGAGGCTGAAGCAATATACCGCGAAGCTATCGAATTATTCCAGGCAAGGCTTGGAGAATCGCACCCGGATACTTTGAACACACATATCAACCTGGCCACTGCTCTTCACGATCAGAATAAGTTCCGCGAGGCAGAGTCTATCATCGCGTCAGCCCTTCCACTCATGCGCAAAGAGCTCGGAGACACTCATCTAGGAACTATAAAAGCTTTGGAGTTCCGCGCCATTCTCTTACAGCATATGGGGAGGTTCTTGGAAGCTCATGGCGTCGTTACAGAGGTATACCAGGCGCGCGAAAAGGAACTGGGGCGTTATCACGACGACACGCAAAAAAGTCTGAGGCATATGAGAGATCTGGCAGAGGACATGGAAGAAGAACATGCTATGCACAGGTTTGCTTCTGTTATCCCCATTGCTGCATGCTAGGATTGGCTGTTGTCAGTCTAGGTCTCTATCTCGACAATCATATCATTCTCCTCTTCGCTATGGTTCCTGAACTCTTTCCTACTTCAGTGTATTCGTCGCGTCACAATTTGAAGCTGCTCTGAACCAACTTCTCACTCAACGTCCACAGCCGCTCGGCTAAGTTTGTGTCGGTCGCATACGGCATGGCGTCGCACATCTGACAGTCATGCAGCAAAACGCCCTTCGACTCTGACATTGTGTCAGCACGTGCATAGCGCGATCAAGAATGCACTTACCGTCCAAAGCAGGGTCTAGTGCCGCGACTAGGACTGTCGCAGCCCCTTGATCATGGTTTTTCCAGAACGGGCTCGTGTTTCTAATCGCAGCTTCACCATCTGTATCCAAGTCGCGACTGAGACCAGTCCAGATGGCTATGCCGTCAGCAAGCTCACTCATGAACGACCAATCAGTCCTGTCGTAGTCGGGTACTCACATCCAGGGTGCACGGCATAACTCTTCACTCCCTTGTCTCCAAATTTCTCATTGATGCCTACGGAGAACAAGATGTTCGCCGTCTTCGCCTGTCCGTACGCGACATACCCGTTATACCCGTCACTTGCGGTCTTAGAAAACGCCGGGGGTAATGGCACATGTCTTTCTGCCTCAGGCACCTCCTCATTGCTTTTCTCCAGGTTGTAATCGGAAAAGCGCACTGGGCTGAGTCGGTGGCCCAGAGAAGTGAGGTTGATGACGCGTGTCGCACCATCCTTCGAAGACGATACCGACGCCAAAAGCTGAGACATGAGCAGGTTGGTGAGTAAAAAGTGGCCGGTGTGGTTCGCGCCGAATTGCCCTTCGATGCCCTCTTTGGTCGTTTGGCGCGTCGGTGTCATGATACCCGCATTGTTGATGATCAGATCTAGGCGGTCTGTCAACTGCGAGACCTCCTTCGCTGCGGTTCTAACAGATTCTTGGGACATCAAATCGAGAAGAACAATTTTGAGAGCGACGTCTGGATAGGCATCTTTGACATTCTTGAGTACTTGTTCTAGTTTGGACTTTGTGCGCGAGGCGAGGATGACGAGCTTTGGGTTTTGGGAAGCGATGGAGAAGGCTATGGAAGAACCGATGCTTTCGGGTGATACACCGGTGATGAGTACTATTGTCCTATCAACTCAGTGCCTCATGAGTGTGACGATACCAGGCTTCTTACCACTCTTCCCTCGGATCTGGTCAGCGAAGGCTTTCGCGACTTCGAGGCCGCCCGTCTCCTGGTTCCATTCTGGATGTGTCAAGGTCGACATGGTGACTTGTGATACCTTCACAATGTCCAGCAGATCCATCGACGTCAACTTTGATATATGATACCTTCTGTAGGGTTATAGATTCGAAATGATAACAACAGGACTACACCATGCCCGCCCCGCCATGTATTCCTTCCTCGTAATTTGCAGGTCGGTTCGCGTCACCCATTGACAGAGGGCCCAAGCTTCATCACAGCTACTTTCGACTACTGGCATCAGAATGCATGCCAACTTCAGACTCGCATCAGCGTCTACTGCATCACACTCTCAGAACGGGGTCCATCCGGAAATGGCAAGGCGCAGTTGTAATGGACGCTGCGGGGTACAGTGCGGGGAGGTTTAACACGATGTGGGGCAGGGACATGCTTCCCTTCACAACTCCAATAACCTCGCGTCACGCGTCAACACTCTTTACCCGGCAGATATGTCGATCCACTCCCCAACAATACAAATCCACCCCACGGAGAAGACATGCCGCGAGAAGCGTCCAACGTCTGCAAGCCCATGGCGCCACGACCCACGCCTGCACCCTCGGCCATCGGTATCATCTCGCCTGGATGAAGTAGCTGAGGCTATGGGTACACTGCCATATCGTCGGTAGATGCAGGCTGGCCAAGCCCCACGCTGCGCGAACGGATACCCGGTCGACGCGTTCAGACACCTCGAGCCTTTTCTCGCAACCAAGCGCGTTGTGTCACTCCTGTTCTGGTCGTGACGCTCTATCAAACTCGCGCATGCCACTCCGTGCGAGAATCGACGACACCAAACTACCCACCATGTCTTCTCTAGAGACCAATGGCAATGGCCCCGTCACCAATGGCGCGAAGCCGAAGACTGGCATCAAAGTCATCATCATCGGCGCAGGTACATGTCCTACTACCTACTACGTACGACCCCTAACAACCACGACCAGGTTTCGGCGGCCTCACAGCAGCCATAGAATGCATCCGCCACGGCCACACCCCCGTCATCTACGAATCCTTCCCCTCGCTCAAAATCCTCGGCGACATCATAACCTTCGGCCCCAACGCCGGTCGCATCTTCGCGCGCTGGAGCGACGGACGCGTCGCACGCGACATGCGCAGCATCTCCATCGACCTTACCGAATACGGTTTCAACATCCACAAATGGGACACCGGCGAGATAGTCATAAACCAGAAGACGCCGCCACGCGACGAAAAGGCGCCAAACTTCAACGGACACCGGGGCGAGCTGCACGAGATTGTGTTTAACTACGCAAAGGAGATTGGAGTGGAGATCAACCTGGGGCAGAGGGTAGAGAAGTACTGGGAGGATGAGAAGGAAGCGGGTATCGTGCTGGAGGATGGGACGAGGGTCGCTGGTGATCTGGTGGTTGCGAGTGATGGTGTCAGGAGCAAGGCAAGAACACTGGTGCTGGGATACGAAGACAAGCCGAAGAGCAGTGGGTATGCTGTCTGGCGAGCATGGTTCAGCAACAAGGATATGATGGCAGATCCGGAAACCAAGCAATTCTGCGACAACGGAGATACCTTCAACGGCTGGATCGGTACACCTCCCTTCCCCTCCCCTCGAACCCTAATCTCATACTGACAACCAACCCAGGCCCAGACGTCCACTTCCTCTTCAGCACCATCAAAAACGGCACAGACTGCTGCTGGGTGCTCACCCACCGCGACTCGCACGACATTGACGAATCCTGGTCCTTCCCCGGCTACCTCAACGACGTCAAAACCGTGCTCGAAGGCTGGGACCCCATGTGTTGGAAAATCGTGTCCAAGACCCCGGAAGAGAAACTCGTAGATTGGAAACTCGTGTACCGAGACCCACTACCCAACTGGGTCAGCGGCTACGGTTCCGCACCAGGCCACGGCCGAATCTGCCTGCTAGGCGACGCTGCACACCCTTTCTTACCTACGAGCGCGCAGGGTGCGACGCAGGCGCTGGAAGATGGCGTGACGCTTGCTGTGTTGCTGCGGAAAGCTGGCAAGGAGAATGTTAAAGGTGCGCTGAGGGCGTATCAGGATATACGGTATGACCGTGTCAAGGCGGTGCAGAAGACGGGGGAGACGACGAGGGATATGTGGCACAAGACGGATTGGGAGAAGGTGAAGAAGGATCCTACGCTCATCCAGTTTCCGAGGGAGGATTGGGTGTTTCAGCATGATGCGGAGAAGTATGCTGAGGAGATGGGGGATGAGGCGATAAAGAAGTGTGGTGTTGGTGCGTAGATGGACGGCATTTGAGTATCGTGTTTTCGCCGGTTGTGGTTGAGTCTGGTAGGTGCTGTGTGTGCGGGAAGGATGTCGAGAACGCCGGTACATAATGCGGAGGTTTGAACAGAGGAGTAGCATTCAAACGATACACAGTCAAGGTACACGTCTTGCAAGTCCATGTGCTCAGCTATCATTTCCTCAAGCCGTGTCTTTAGCCACTGTAACATCAAATCTCTCACACCTCCATGACAATCTCCTTTCCAGCTCATGCGCCCTTCTCTCCTACATCAACAACCTCCCGGTGTACAACCTGATCTTTCTCGCTACCATCCTTGTCGCTATCCCTTCTCTCACTACCAAGCTTGTCATCCCCATCACCAGCCAGCACCCTCCCGGTACAAACATACTTTCTGAACTTGCGCGCAGAGAGCCTAGCTTCAAACATCTCGTCGATTTCCTCGAGCGTGCGGTTCTTGATCTCGGGGAGGTAAAAGTAGACCCAGATGACAGTTATAAAACAAGACGGGCCCCAGATCCAGCCTGCAAAAAAAAAAAGCATGTTAGTAAGCTTGGGTGTGAACGAGGGGGAGGTTATGGGTGAATAGGGAAATTGCTGCACGTACCGTACTCGGGTCCCCAGTTCAGCGACTCGGGATTGATAAAGTAGGGAGCTGTAAAAGTGGCTAGCCAGGCACCTGCGAAACCAACTGCAGATGCGATTCCAAATGTGTATGAACGGAGACGCTGCGATGGGATTTCTCCGCCGGTGAGCCATGCGTAGGCGGCGATCATGCCGTTGTAGCCTATGATGTACACGACTGAGAGACCAACGATGACCTTGTGCAAACGTCAGTGAAGGAACCTAGATTGATGCTTAGAGAGAAAAAAGACGACTCTTACTTTTCCCGTGCCGGTAGTCCCAGGATTGACATGGTATACGGCCGCAATGATAAGCTGTGTAACGCCACAGATTGAAAGACCAGTCATGAGAAAAACGCGCCGACGGCCGATCTTGGAGATGATGCTACTATTCACCATGATGGCGAGGACACCCACCGAGGTCAAGATGCACGAATTCATAAAAGGACTTCCGACGTTGGCCATCTATATGTTGTCAGTATCACCACCAGGTCAAAAAAACAATGAAAGCGCGGGTACTGACCTGGAAGAAGTACGTTCCGTACGCAATCATAAACATAGCACCAGATGCGGCCTGCGTCGATACCGCCGCAATAGCCAACAACGTGCGTCGCCGATCCACAGGATCCTTCCAGATATCCAGAAAATTCGCGCTTGACTTGACAGCTTTTTCCGCGTCAATGGCAGCTTGTATCTCTGCTACTTCTCCGGGTACGCTTTCGGGATGGGGACGCATCCAGAGTAGTGCCTTCTCAGCCTGTGCTGGTCTGTCGACCAGGATGAGCCAACGCGGCGACTCGGGGATGAAAAACATGCCAATGGACATGAAGAACGGGACGATGAAGATGGTGCCAAGCGGGATGATGTATGAGTTACGACCCTGCATGTCGTGTGTCGCGTTGTCGATGACGGTGCCGATGAGTGTGCCAATCGAGGTCCATATCTGGAAGACGGAGATCATGAGACCGCGGTAGCGCGCTGGTGCGGATTCCTGTATCCCTTTTCGTCAGCGAAAGTGTGTGAAAGAAGGTGGGTGGGAGAAAGAAAGAAGGGGGAAAGGAAACGAACCTGGATATACAACTGCGAAAATGTCATGTACCATCCATTCGCGATACCAATCAGCAGTCTCCCTGCGTACAAACCTCCCATACTCGTCGTAGTCATCATGACGATATTCGCAACGCAGCAGAGCACACTGGCCATCCAAAGACACTGTCTCCTGCCCAGCCTCGTTGCGAAGACACCCGCGAACGAGGAGCTGAGGAAAGCACCTAGCGTCATCAACGAGGAGATGAGCTGTTGGCGCTCTGTAGAAATGTTGTAGCCGGTTGGTACGGTGGGATCTGGGTGGCCGAAGATTTCAAGGAAGCCGCGCATGGCTTGTAGGCCGCCGATGGCGCCAAAGTCGATGCCGTATTGGAAGGGGGACATGGAGACGAGAGTGCATGCTGCTAGACATTTCCAGTTGGAGAGAAGGCTCGAGGTTAGGTCGGGCATGGTAGCTGTTGTTTGACGGTTCGATAGAACAAGGAACGCGATACAAGCAGTGGTTGTTGTTTTTGCGATGCTAAAACGGAGAAGTAGGGCAGTATCAAGAAAAGGCTGGACTTTGGGAGTTGGCTCCACCTCCCAGAGATTGGAAATTCTGCTTTCTTGCTTCACGTTTGCGTGTGCACTTCATCCCAGACTGATATGCAGATCGTTATCCATGTGTCGACCCCCTTGTCGCAATATCTGCCGATAGTGCCTCCAAATGCTTAGCCTGTCGTACCCCGGACTTGAACATGAGTCTAAAGTGTGGAGTGCGGAGGTGGCGTTTCGACTAACGACGCTTCGAGCCATTGGCGGGTAATGAAAGTTTGTGCTTTTCGTTTTCAAGGTGGCGCATTAGGCTTTTGTCACGATGCCAGGTATATGTTGAGTGGGGGTGAAGAGGAGACTAGTAGGTTCCTACCATTCTACCGCTGCCGGCCAAAACTATCGATGGATTGTGTTACTCACCATCAGCATGATGTATGCTTTGGTTTGGCGATCGCTCGGATAACGCAATGGACTTGTAGGTGTAGTAGGTGCAGTCGAATGCATATCCTAGCTGTGAGCATGCCATGCAATACAACCTATGGTTCCATAATCGACAAACGGAGGGTTATAAGACGGTGATACCGCGTGGTCGGATTGATAATGCCGTGCGACATTGATCTTGTTCTTCCTCGTGCAGGAGGGTAAGGATCTGCATGTGCCGACTTTCGCAGCTATGCACAATGGAGTCAATGGATTGCATTCGCACCGGATTGGAGTCAAATGAGAAAAGCGTGGCGTAAGTCTAGATGGTTAGTAGTAGCGCATCGCAAGCGGACGATGTGGAGAACGATGGAGAGTGAGGATGCGGATGGTACAAGTTCACGCCTGAGGCGGTGGGGCGCGCTTGTGTCCCTGGGATCCGACTTAGTGATGGCCTCTTTGAGCACGCCTGTGCTTATCCGTCAAACACCATTACATTACCCATGACAGAAAGAAAAAACAGCACGTTGCTCCGCAACTAGAATGTGTACATTGGTTCTCATGAGACCGGTCTAAAAGTCCTCCGCCCGAACAGTTTCTCCGTCCAGCCACTTCTTGCACTGGAAATACAGCTTGTCGTGCGCCTCACGAGAAGGTGTCCCCGCATCTTCACGGCGATGTCCCGGCATGCCGTGGAGGACTTTGATACCATCCATCGTCTCCTCCTGACCGTAAGCAAGCATTTTATAGCCGGGCGAATAAGTCGCCAATCTTGCTTCGTCCAAAACGGGGACTTTATTCGGATTCACCGGGATCATCTTGTCCTTTTCGTACCAATGCCGTACAAGCCTAGCCTTCCATTCGCCAACGTCGTTTCTCTCCCACAGGTAGCAGAAGCGACAGTCACACTCCACATCGACTTCGCAGCCGTCAATGGTGAAGCGCTGCGTGATAGTAGACTTAAGCTTCGTTACAGCCCGAGTACCGTCGGGTCGAATGTCAGTACTGGCTCCGGCACATCTATGCATGATGAAGGCGCCTTTATCCATGCCTGCTTTGGAGATTTCGAAGAACTTCTTGTAATGCACGCGGCCGCTCCATGTAGTGTATATATGTGCGTCGTCGTGGAATATAGAATCGAAGTTCTCCCATTCGCATGCATCGCGGTACATAGGCCATCCTTCAGCCATCTCGCGTAATTTCCAGCGCTGTAATGCCAAATCGTCGGGCCCATTGTTTCGGACGGCTTCGATGGGTCGAGAGCCATTCGGCAAGGTGTGGCGATCAACTGAAGACATGATCATGTGGTACGAGTTGAGGTTGCTGCGGATATGAAGTTCTGGTGAAGTAACCCTGGAGGACGGACAGCTTCGAAGGTTCATAGGTTTATAAGCACTTGACCGGGATATCATGTGCGAACCCGCTACTACGCTCGACATACTTCGCCGATGATGCGACGCGTGATAGCGGTGTTTCTGTAGAGTTTGGAACGCGGCCTGGTCAGTTGTTTGTTACCGATCGGCTCGGAAGTCAGTTCGGCTCAATCATCGGCTCGAACTGGAAACTGATACAACCACTGCCGGCGGCTCGGGATCGGAACTGGTCTAACCATCGACCCGACCCATTGACGCTGTTATCGAGTTGAAGTTATCGTCCGTCAAACCCTATGATCGTACGGTCGTAGCAGCTATATATTTTCCCAAGTATCATATGGATCTCACTATGACTTCGTTAGTTGTGTGTTACTGTTACAGTATCGAAGGCTTTGGTTCCTTTCAAGATGTTGGCCACTTGCGCGGTTTTTGTCGCTTCGTTGATCTGTTACCTATTGGCACAAAGATTTCAGAAAGGTCTTAGCAAATATCCTGGGCCTTATTTCGCGTCATTGACGAATATATGGCGTGCGATGGATGTATACAAGCGAGACACACATGTTACATACCGCAAATTACATGCGAAGTATGGCGACGTTGTCCGAGTCGGACCCAACGTTTTGTCGTTTGGCAAGCCATCTGCTATCCAGGATATATACGGACTGAATAAAGGATTTACGAAGGTCAGTCTTGACGGCACCGATAGCCCAGTTAGATGGAACTGATCAACGCCAGAGTGGATATTACGATGTCTTTGCTGTCCTGAAAAAAGGCAGCATTGTCTACAATCTGTGAGCTCGAATACGACACGTTTTTGCAGGTGCTAGATGCTTACATACGCCATTTTCAGATTCTCGACAAGATCAGAAACCCATCATGCTCGCCTGAGACGCTCTGTCAACCATGCGTTCGCTCTATCGACACTACTGGATTTTGAACCGCTTGTGAATAGCTGTTCATCTTATTGGCTCAAGCGTACAGAAGAGCTTTACGTCAAAGGAC